GGGCTTTGACTCCTCAGCCCGTTGTCATTCCACTTTAAAGTGCCCCCCTGTCCCATTGAGGTACCTAGAAAATACAGAATTGTCCTAATATCTGCCCCTCCCTTTATTTAAGAACTTAAACCATGTCCAACCTTGTAATTCCATGCACATCCTCCAAATACTTCAGCACCTGGATGATACTGAAGGTCCCTTTCAACCCTTTAATTCTGTGATCCCACCCTCCTTCAGGTTTTCATTTTCTCATCCACCTTTCAATAACCTCGTGCCGTCAGATCATTATTTATAGATGGCAGATATTGAAATACTTTTATTTGGCTGGAAAGGGACGATTGCAGCACTCAGGGTTTGGAGAAAGCTGAGGTTGGGTTCCAGAGCAGGAGGCACCAGGGACATTTTCCAGGAGCTGGCTGAGGAGCAGAGCCCCTGTTACACTGATTGCTTTAATGCTGACCTGTAATTATTGCATTCATCATGGCCAGGAGCACCAGGAGTGTGGAAAAAGTGTCTTTGCAGTGGAAGGCAAGAAAGGAATAATGACAATTGCCATGCTGGCATTGCACCTTGGCAGCTGAATTCCCAGAAATGCATGGGACGAAGGGCTGGCCACCAAAGCATGGGCTTGGCCATGGCTTTGGGAAGTCCAGGGAGAGATTTTACTCACTTGGGATTTTTTCCTTTGGGCAGTCTAAATGGGGATTTTTTCCTTTGGGCAGTCTAGATAGGGATTTTTTTGCTTTGGGCAGTCTAGATAGGGATTTTTTTTGCTTTGGGCAGTCTAGATAGGGATTTTTTTTTGCTTTGGGCAGTCTAGATGGGGATTTTTTACTTTGGGCAGTCCAGGTGGGGATTTTTTGCCTGGCTCTGCTGGCAGGGCCCCACAGTTTTTGCAGACAGATGCTTCACCACGAGCCCAGATGCTGCCCTTGCCCCAGCCCTGAACAAGGCAAACAGTTTGAGAAGCTTCTCTTCATCAAATTCATTTGCACTGATCGCTCCCCAAGCTCCTTGCAGAGAGAGGAGGAGAAGGAGCCTGAGAAAACCTCCTGAAAGCTTGTGCAGACCTATTTTAAAAGCAAAAACCCCAGAAAATAGCAACGTGCAAGTCTGTCTGCAGCTACAGCAGAGGGAAGCAGATGCAAGCAAGGCTGCCCATGCCTTGGGAAGCTCTGGGAGCTCCTGGAAGGCAGCCAGGGCTGAAATCATGGCTGGAGGCAGCAGCAGCCTTTTCTCCCCTCTGCCCGAGCTGCTCCTGGCAGGACATTTGTATTTTATTGAGCTCTGAGCCGTGCAGTGTGGTGGCTGGACATGAAAAGGTAAATTGAGGAGTATCTTCTGGACGTAGTGGAATGCTGAAAAAAGAATTTTTTAAGTTGATGGCAACAAGGGGGCAGTTTTTTGGAATTTTTGAAAGGGAGGGAAGTCTAGGTTGTGGAGGCTTTATGTTTTCTAGGATCTTGTTGATCTAGGTTGTGGAGGCTTTATGTTTTCTACAATCTTGTTGATCTTTAGGTCGTGGAGTAATTTCTAGGAATTGGAAGTCTTTTTATGAATGACAAAACACCTTCTAATTATGATATCATAGATTATAACATCTGTATTATCTCACCTTTCTCATAAAACTTAAAATAAGTCTTTAAAACACCTCTCAGTCACCCCATCTCAAGATCAGAAAAAAAAAAATCTCATCCAACAGCAGTGGGCAGGGCTCTGCTCAGAGCTGGAGATCTCCAGGCAATGGCAGGAACAGCCCCCCAGACCCTGGCATTAAAGACACTTCCCTGTGTGACACGCTACAACCACTTAGGGCTGTTTTTCTGTAGGTCAGGAGCGGTGGTGTGGTTGTTCCTCGGAGGTCACTGAAGTTTGGGCTCCAAAATCTGCTCCTCCAAACCACTGTGGGATCCTGACACACCTACAGCCGTGTCTTTGTGTTCCCTGAAGAGAGAGGACAAGATGTGGTGATGTGCAATACAAATATTTTGCATTTGCCTTCCTATTAAAACTCCCAGCCCCTCCCCTCCTCATCCAGGTTTCATTTTTTCAGATTTCTTCAGCCTGCTTCAGCTCTGCTGTTCTATCACAGAGGGATTGCCTCTGCTTCGACATGATTTATTTATTTATTGTTCTCTGTCTGTGCTTGAGTTGCAGTTATTTTGCAAGTCAGCTCATGGGCACCGTCCCATTTTGCTGTTGATGCCCTGGATGGAGTTTTCAGTTGCCATCCTGGGTGCTCAGCCTGAATCTGCTCCCCATGTGTGGCATGGATGGGCACATCCAGCTGCAGCATTCACAAAGCTTTCTTCTTGTCTTCTTTCCTTTTTGTTTTTACTTTTTTCTTTTTAATTTTAATTTTTATTTTATTTTTTTGTGGGGAAGTTGCTGCAATTTGAAATTGCTGAAATCTGATCGTAAACGGTGTCAAGAGGCAAAGCCAGAAATGATCCTTTGAGGGCACTCTTTGATATTTGGGGAAGTGAACCTTGAAAACCTCCCTTGTTTCCTGTTGTTCCATTCCTTGTTTTCTCTCATAAAGTTTTTTTTTTTTTTTTTCTTTTCTGAAGACTTCCAAAGTACACAACCTCCCTGAAAGTCTATTGCTCCCAGAAGAAGGTCTTTTTGTAGGTTTTGACCCAGGTCCATCTCCTAGCCCAGCTGCAGCTCCTTTTCCTTTGAGGTGAAGCCAAAGCTGCTGAAATTCATGTCAGTGCTGGAGGTTGAAGAATTATCCAACCCAGAGGAAGGGTTGGGGCTGGTGGGGACTTTTCACCTCCAGTTTCCTGTCCAGGACAATACAAGGGGATCTTTCTGGGGCCAAGATTTGTCTCTCAGTACTGGAGAACCACTTTTGTCTCCTTCAAATCACTCCTTCCTCCCACAGTGGTGAAGCCGCTTGGTTCAAGCTCAGTTTTCAGAGATGGTATTTTGTAAACTGGGCATTTTAAGGCACAAAATGTACCTTTTAAGAGGAAGAAATCTGCGAATTAGCTCCTTTTAATCATGCCTGTGTTCTGGTGAGCTGCACTTTTCCCTTGCCTGTGGCTCCCTGCTTCTCCAAACAATCCCCCCAAGTGCAGGAGGGGAATTGGAATGTGCTTGGCAGCTCCCTTCTGCAAAGCCTCGATAATTTTTTGTCATCGATCCAAAATATCTTATGCCAGTTCACCGACGTGAGGTCACCCTGATTTCATCCCAAGGCTGCTGGTGGAGGTTTTTTGTGTGTGTGTGTGTCCTGACTGCCCTCACCCCCTCCCCAGCTGGTTTTGTCGGAGGTTCAGGCGCTGCGTGAGGTGGCTCCGTCCTCGGCGCGTGTTGGGATCTGGGAATTTGGTGGCTAATTACTGAATTGCTGCCTGTGCCCTCCAAACCAGGCTGCACATCCTACCCTGGGACACCCTTGACCAGCCTGCAAGAAAAACAGGCTCCTCTTTAGAGTGTCTCCCTAGAAAACACTCGGTTAGCAGCAGAAAATACCTGTCTGCACGAGAGGCTGCGCTGCTTTCCAACAGCAACAACAAAAAACCTGTGTGATTTCTGCTCCGAGCAGGGGTGACACCCAGCCTCGTCCAGCGTGGCTTCAACACCCCCCAAAATCTCGCCAGGAGGATGAAATTTTCTTTTCTCTTCCCTTTCTGGTCACGTTTTACCACTGGAGTTACTCAGCGAATTAATAGGTATAGAAATGCAAAGCTCTTTTCTTATTACACGCCATCGATCTGATTGCAGTGTCATTAATTGAAAGACTCGGGAAATGTGATGGATGGTTCAGTTCAGGATTCCACATTCGTTTTGGCATAGCCCTGCAGGAGAAAAGCTGCATGAAGCTGATTGAAGGGCTCTTTTTGTCTGACATGAATTATTCTTTCATTGTCAAACCTTGTAACAGCATTCAGACATAGGGAGATTTACAATGTGAAATCCTAAATGGGGTCTATTCTTAAAATAAAATTAGAAAAAAAAAAAAAGAGAGAGCTTTATCTTGCAACGTTGAAAATAGCTATGTTTAAAAAAAAAAAAGACAACCCCACAACTATTCCTCCAAATTAAATATCTTCTGCAAAACCCAAGGGGCTGATGTTTCTCACTTAATTTTAAATTATTCTGATGGTGAGGCCTTAAATGAATAAAACAATTGCTTTAATCACATAACGGTTGTCAACATTTTTATTACGTTCAAATATATTTGTTTGTCTGAGAGGGTTTGTTTGCTCTCCCCACTGCTGTCATTTCCCCAGCAGAACGATTTGTCCGATTAGCTGGGAATCCTGCTCGTCCTGGAAAATTACACGAGGCTTTCCTTTCTCTTTGGGGAAAACCTAGGTGGACGCTGCTGAAATGTTTATTTAAGGAAATCATTCTGCATTTTAGAAAACATTAAAAAGGAAAAAAAACCGAAACCGCAGTTCTGTGTACAAAGATTTCAGCTTTTCCCAGCTGCTGGCTGCAGGCAGCTCTTATCAAACGAGCTTTGGTGGGATTTGGGATTATTTATTTTTTATTTTTTTGCTGTTGATCCCGTGCAGTTCCGTGGTTAAATTCTGCGGGTTCTTTTGTCTGTATAAAAATTCCTGCCAGGCTCTGAGGGTTGGGAGATGCAACCACTCGAAAGCAGCAGAGAGGAGCAGCCCCTCTCCTCTTTCCACCCCCAGCTCGCCGTGCAAAGTTGATGAAGAGTTTGGAATGCCAAGCAGCCACCCAACTTGTGGGCTCATTTGAGAATAAAACACTGAAATAACATTATCCGAGATGGGAATCAATGTCATGCCTGTTACAAATGCTGGAGCTGGGAGAATAGCGAGATTACACAGAGCAGGCAGATTAGATGAAGAAGAGTATTCGATTACATTACATCTGATTAGTGCTGTCTATTCATCTGTGTGGGGCTTTTTTTATTCTTAAAGAAAGCTGGCTTATTTTATGGCAACGGGGTGTGTTGAGAAAGCAAAAAGCTGGAAGAATTGGATGTAAAACAGTGTTGGGAATAGGCAGCTCTCTGTTTTAATCATCGTCCTCCCTCAGCTCCTTTCCCATCCCCGGATCTGCGTGCCCAAATGTTTTAGCAGGCAGATCGCCACAGAAATGACCATTTTTTACTATTATTTACCCACTTTTCACCCCCAGAAAGGCATCGAGTGATCACTCTCTGCCTGACCCCCTAAACAAACGCCCCTTCCCACCTGAGCTGGACATTTGCAGGCAGCCAGAGCGGCCCGAGGACCGAGATGAGTAATTCCCATTAAAGTGGGGAAAGAGCCTTTTTTCCCCGAGCTGAAGGAATAAACGGCATTGATGGGAAATGTTGTCCTCATCCCCCGCCCCCTCCCCCTGCCTATCTGCATGGAATACCCTCCCGAACGTGGATTTTTTAAGGTCTCATTGTTCGGCGAGAGGGTTGAGATTATTTTTGTAGGGTTTTTTCTTTTTTTTTTAATTTTTTTTTTTTTTGGGGAGGGTTTTCCCTGCTCCTGCCGGGGATGCAGAGCCCGGCCGCTGCAGGTGCTGCTCCTCACGCTGGGAATCTCCAGTTCTCCTAAGTTTGGGAATGGAGAGCTGGGTCAGAGCACAACACCCACTGAGCAGTGGGGTTTTTCCAGCCCTTTCTTGCTTTATTTTCAGGCTCAGAGCTCTGGGATGCTCCCACCCAGGGCTGCTCAGGCTGTTCCTGCAGCTCTCCTTTAATCTTGAGCACCTTCAGTGTCGTTAGCAGCTCCAACCTTCCAGCCACTGGCTGTTCCTAAAAAGGTGAGGGAGCTGGGGAGGGGTTGCTTTCATTAGTTATTTGAAATTGAAGATGATTTAATTTCCTTTTTTTTTTGTTTTTTCTTTCTTTCTTTATGCCGTCTCAAGCTAAATAAACTCAGTTCCTCCGAGCCCAAAAAGCAGCGAGGATATTTTGCCTTTGGTGTCACTAATTAGCCTCCCACGGAAGCTGAGATCAGGAGAAAGGGACATAAGGAGAGAGTTCGTGCAGCCTTGCAGGACTCTGAGCATATTCTACAGGAGGGGGGAAAGAAATATTTATCTCTCAGCCCCAAACTCGGTGAAACCGCTTCATTTTCGGAGTTTCCCGCACTCCGAAATGCGGGCTGGATAATTTCTGCAAATTCAATTAGAGTTTGGAGCCCGTGGCCACTCTGATCAGATCTGTGTAAATAACATTGTCCCCAGCCTGTGTTGTCACCTCTGAAATGCTCTCTGGATCGCAGCCTAGCTCTGTCTTTTCTTGTGCTGGAGTCAGGGTGGTGCTGGATTTCGGAGCTTTTTGCATTTTATTGCTCTTGATTTTTTTTTTATTTAATTTTTTTTAGGTTTTTTTTTGGTTTTGTTTTGTTTCTTTTCTAGTCCGTTTTGATTCTGACAGTTTTTAAAGGTGAGGCTCATTTTTTGTGAGGTTAAGAAGAAGGAGAGAGTAAAAGGTACCGTATCTTTCTTCTTAATTGTTTGGCTTAAGTCTGAAACATCTGAAAAAACACCCTTAAAATGATCTTAGAAGTAACAGTCGCTTAATTAATAAAAAATAGTAACAGATTTAGCTTACCCTCTTTATGGACTTAACTTCAGGAAATTAGGCATCCACTGTCTCCTCTGCAATAATCAGTTTCTTATCTAACAGATATGAAACGACCAAATACCTCTTACATCATTTGCATCCTTTAACTCAGGAACAATTGCTCCAAACAAAAAAAATAAAATAAAATAAAATAAAATTGAAGCACTGCTACAGCTCAGAGCATCTTTTTCTTTAAACCCTTTAAAGTCCCCCGTTTATTCCCATCCCAGCTCAGCTTAATTCCCTTTTATTGTGTCGTTGGGCTGGAAATATACAGTGCCATGCCTAATTGTGCTGCTATTCCACATTAATAACCTGGAACTTTGCATCCCAAGCAGCGAGGAGCACGGAGAAAAGGCAGAAACAGATGCAATTATTTGTTGCTGGCTAAGTTACTGTACGTGACCCAGGTGCTGGAGGACTATTTGCATGTGTTTCTCACCTTTGTTCACCCAGACACATGGGGATCTGGAGCTATTGCTGACTAATTGATAGTTGTAGTAACTGCTATAGGCTCCTTAGATTAGAAATGCATGCAGACGTGTGTCTTGATTCAAACATTAAGGAACACACACACTCTCACTTACTTACACGGGCAGAAAGTCTTCGTACTATTAGAGGTGTGTGATGGAGATAGCAGGACATAAAACAGAAGAGAGAGAGACACAGGGAGAGAGAGAGAGACAGAGACAGAGAGATGGCATGCAGCATATATACCCCTACAAATAGTTCTAAAATGCGTTTGCAAATGCAGAAGTCTTCAGAACCATCCACCAGTTCAGCACAACCCTTTTTATCTCTTCTCTGCGGGACGTCTCCATCCAGATTACTCGAAAAAAGCGGAAAAGGTGAGAGCTCTGCCATCTTAGCTCTGAATTCATCTGATTTCCTTTTTTTTTTTTTTTTTTTTTTTTTTTTTTAAATCCCCCCCCTTCTCTCCCTTGTATTCCTTATGCCATTGTCCATTCTTATGATGGCAGCCGCCCTTGCTCTTGAATGCAAGTGTCACAGCGGGAGCAAAAAGGGTTCAGGGCTGCATTGTCAAAGCCATGGTTGCCTATTGTTTCTTAGCCTTTCACTGCTCTGCTTTTCCGAGCCTCTTTCCCTATCAGTGGCCCCTGTCAAGGGGAGGAGTAGGGAGAAAATTGCAAGAGTTAGTCGTCCTTTTTATTGCACACTGTTATGATAAACAGCCCCAGCAATACATCCCACAAAATTAGGAATTATAACGACGGGACGGGGGGAAAAAAAGAAATTTCTTTGTAGGTTTGCGTTTGGCGCTGCCCTTATGTCAAAAGCTTGGTTTTCTTAGGAAAGACTTTTGTATTGGTGGTTTTTTTTGTTGTTTTTTTTTTTTTTGCCCAGCAAAAAATAGAGGCAGCTGCAAAGTGAACAGTGAGCTATTTAGCCACAAGGTAAAAATTTCCTGTTGCTATTTGGATACTGATGCTTTTCAATTTTAAAGGTGTGTGGGGGGGAGGTAGCATGACTGAAAGCATTTCTGTAGCTGTCCATCCATCCATCCATCCATCCATCCATCCATCCATCCATCTCTATTTTATGTTTTAAAGCAATCGAAAACGGGTTTTAAAAAGGCCAGGGAGGCTGTTTGCAAGTTGGTTTTATTTGGGGGGAAAAAAACCAAAATCTCTCAGTGCAGAATGAGGTTTGTGTTTCAGCTGATTGAATCTTGTGCTGGGAAATGAAGGGGGGATGAGTGTCCTGCTCGTGCCAGAAAGTGCTGCTTTGTCAGGGCATTCAAAGTAAAATCTTGTCACAATTTCTTCCTTTGGTGGAGGGGGGAAAAATGAATATAGACAGGAGTTTACTTGGCATTTAAGCATGTGTTTGATTGTCTTGTGTGCACAGGCCAGCTCTGCCCGTGTTCAAAACTTCAGGGAGGTTACAAAGTCATGGCCTCAAAAGTTTTTTTGTTTTACTGCGTTTGAGATGAAATTGCTGAGAGGAGAAAATGATTCCTAAAAGGAGGCCGCTCAGAAGAGTGCAAACATATTTATGTGTTCAAGCTGTAAATATTTTACTCGTTTCACTTTCATTATTTTTTTTACTTGCCTTAAAAAAATAAAAAAAAATCTACCAAAGTGGAAGAGAAGAAAATGCAATTTGGTTTGTGCTTTTAACTGTTTCTGTAAATTTGAGCATCATCCTTTCAATCCTTACATTTTTCCTCACTGCCCGCCCTCAGTGTACAGGATATTTAACAGTCTGGGGGTTTAATTTTTGCAAGCCTATTATTATGTTCTTTTGGCTGAGCTGTTATATGATCAGAAATTATTAAAAGCAAACCCTGCAGACCGTTGAAATATGTGCTGCTTGAGGCTGAATGTCTGAGCCATTGCAAACGTCTCGTGCTATTTTATCATGTCTAATAATACCAGGCAGAGTGCACACATGTAAATATGGTTTAAGTCTTAAAGAAGCTCACAGAGAAATTCTCCTCAAGCTGCTTGGGCTTGCTTTGCTTCTATTGCAGAATATCGAGTTGGCCGAGAGCTTTTGGTGGGAATTCAGAAAAGGGGCCAAGATATTTCACCTGGGTTCCCTCTTAACTCTCAGGGTGCCGAAATAGAAGTGATTTGAGGACCAAATTCTCCCAGCCCATCCTGCAGACAACTCGCTTTGCCTTTTCTCCCCCGTGCTGGTGCTTTTTACACTCATTTATTGTCCTGCACCGCCAAGTTCTAGGTCAAGTATGCGCCTGTTTGGAATATCTTTATGTTTGAAACTTTTTTTTTTTTTTTTAAGAAATGATGAAAGAACTCTGGCCTTGTTTTAAATCAAGCTCTGAATGCAGCCGAGGCCACCCTGGGAGCACAATGTTTAATTTCCATTCGACATCTGCCTTATATTTACCACTGCAGCCCAGGGTCTGCGTGGAAGGAGCACTTATCGTTGATAAAAAGTTTGGCATCTCTTTTGTCAGAGGTTGTAATTTCTGTTCTCTCAATCTGGACTGTCATTTTGTAAAATCTTTTGTCACCGGAGCTGAGTGGAAAACCTGGAACGTGCAAGACATTAAAAGAAATGGGGGAAGAGGATTCAAATGTGCAGAGCAATTCTGGTCGCTTCCCTCTCTGAGACAGATGGTGCCTAATCCTGATTTTTCCTTATTCCAGTGTAAATTCCGAGCTGTCCCCTGGATGCACAGCTGAATACTGATGAATCAGGAGCAGGCCTGGCTGCTGCTTTGCTTTTTGAGGCTGTGGGTTTATCTGGCAGAGCTTTCTGCAGGCACAGCTCTGGGCTGGCACTCTGCTCAGTGACTGCACCACCCCAGTGCCAACCCTGCGTCCCCTGCTCCCTCCTCCTCCTCCACCCCGACCTCCCAAATCTAGGCATTAATATCGGAATTCAGGTGTTTTCTTTAGGTAGGTCTGGCTAGGGAAATCTCAGAGCTGAGGGGGAATTTGGCACTCCAGAGTGGCAGGGGAGTGTGGTGCTGCTGGCTGAGATGTCAGGTTTGCCAGGGGGGAAAAGGAAGTTTTTTCAGAGCACAGGCAGAAACATTTAGCCCCACAGATGAATTTTGCTGTAAAAAGGGTGATTCAAGGGGTGAGGTGTTCCAGTCTGATCTGTTTCAGTGGAGAAGGGAAAACTTCACTCTGTGTTTAGTTTTTAAAATTTATTTTGTCTCCTTATTAATCAAAACAGCTTGTGTTCACTTTGCTTTTAATATGAGGATATGAAAATGCTTTTTTTGCCCCAGATTATCTTCTGTAATTTGAAGTTCTCTGTGTGGTGTCAGCTCAAGTTCCAGCACCTCTTTCACTCTTTCTTGTGGGATTTCAGTGAGCAACCCTTACAGTTCTGTTCTACAAAGAAATAAATATATATATATATATTTTTTTTTTTTTTTCTCTCATAGGAGTAACCTCAGTGGGATTTGCTCATTAAAAAGAGAAAAGATCACCTGGATTCTTCTGGAGCTGGGAGTCAGGGCCAGAAATCTCCAGGAAAGACCTGCCCAAGGAACAAGAAGAGGATCTCACCTCTGCAGAGCTCCATCCCACCTGGAGCTCCAGGCAAGTACCATTTCCCTGCTTGGAGCTTCACTGCTGAGTCCTTACAAGTTCTCACACGCAGAAATTGTGTCAGAAAAGTTGTATTGCATTAAAATTTGCTGTGAATTCGGTGCATTGATCAGGGTTCTTGTCCTCTGCCACTGGCCAGTGTGCTGTTGCACACTTGTGGAGGCTTCAGAGAGTCCAAAATGCAGCAGGAGCTACGCCAGAGAGTTGTGTCAGGAAAAGCTGAACCCTAGAGGATTCTGAGCCTTTTGCTAATCCCAAATCCATTTCCTGTTGCCACTTTAAATCACTGATTTGCAGCCCTCTGAATTTTCAGGATTGTGGGGTTTGCAAAGCCCCAGAACTGAGGCGCTGCCATGAATTTTGTGTCCAGGTGGGCAGCACCTTCCCAGGGGACAGTCATTGCTTTCTTGTTCATGGAATTGACCCCTGACAGCAGCAAAGCTTGACAGGTAGAAAATAGGTTCTTTCAAAGTGGAAGAGTCTGAAATAAGGCATGGAAGAACTTCTTGTCTCCCACTGGGAAAAGCCTGCTCAGAGAGACCCATTCAGGCAGGGGAAGCTGTGGGAGAAGTGTGAGGTGAAACATCAGCCAGGTAATTCTCCTAATGGGTGAGATGATGCTGGTTTCCAGGAAATCAGGGCAAATTTGTGGTTAACTCTGTGTGCTGGAAAGATTCAGGATGCAGGGGGTGTGCAGGGCCAGCCCTGACCTGAGGGAAGGTGCCACAGCATCAGTTGGATGGCAGGTGGAAGTTCCTGTGTCCTGCTCAGGCTGCACTTCCCTGAGTTCAGACAGCTTTGTGCTGGCAGATTTCACTCCTCCTTACCCAAAACATGTGCCAGAGTTTAACCAAACCACACTGAAAGTGAGCACAGCAGAACAATTTCATGTGGCAATGTTGGCAA